TAAAAGCAACTCCAATAAAATAAACATAAATATCTTATACGATATATCTTTTAGTGAGCAATATTCATCAAGAAAACAGGTATATATTACTGAATTTTCTCATAGTGCAACTTATATGATTTTCCATTAGTTTCTATATGTCTGTTCGCACCCATGACATATCAACAGTTTTTCACCATCTAGGGGCATCCCACTCTAAACTTTGTATTTCTCGCATTATACTTAGGAAGCTCTTACTGATATCTAAGATACCTGAAAATACTTAAAAATACTTAAGAAATATTTAGCGCTAGTTTGTTACCACCGTTGCTAGAGAGATTTCTTTCGATAATTTACCCGCTGTCATCTGGGATTTGGTGTATGCGTGTTTAGAAAAATCAACTATAATTGTGAAATGTATTCCTTTTTTGTAGGGATCGAGGAAGAGCAATTTCGATTCAAGGAATATTACATTGCCAAACCGATTTATCTGTCATTCAAAGGGAGAATAAGGAACTATTTGGAAAGTTACTATGGAATAAACTGCGTGTGGAACAAAGTGTGGAAGCAAATCCTCTAAACAAATTTTTCTATCCCAAACCATCTCTCCATAAAAACATATTTTTTGTCCAACAGGATCTTGATCCAACGGACGATAGCTTCAGGCATTTACGTTGATTGAAGCTGAATAAGAAGTTTTGAAAGATTTCCGCACCATCCGCACGTATAACATCCGGAAAGCCACATCTCCTAGATTAGAGCCGAATGAGTTTATTGTAGAAGTTAATCACATTTCCTCGGATTTGGAACCTTCAATGCTTAAGACTTATTATTATTAAGGCTGGACATGATCATACCAACATATTCGCTTGGTGTTAATTTCGGAACCGCTCTCTAATTAATTCCATCATTCATCAGAAACGGTTGTTACGTATTAAGACATAAATATGGGGATATTTTGAAGAATAGTTTGGCATTTGTTTGGGGAATAGTTTGAAATAAATTCATATATTTTATCTTAGGATTTTTTTACACGAAATGGAAACAAATAAATAGCGGGTTTGAACTAAATCGTTGTATTTGGTACATCAATTATTTGAAATAAATTGATATTTCAGAATAAATGAATTTTTCCTTGTTATACTTATTGGTTTCGAAGCCTAAAAGTGAGAAATTCATGTTAATTTCATATAAAGCCTTCGGTTACTATCAGGATACTCACTCAGCTTCCTCATCAGTCCGTCGTAACTCATCTTTACAGATGTAAGTTTCTCAAAACGCAGCACGATACGACCACCAGTGGCAATTGCAATCACTTCAATTTCTAGTCAACCAACCCAACAACTTGCTAGCAGTTACACTTCATTGTATTGCTATTGTTCTCTGGTAAATAACCAGCGTAGTCCTAGCATTCTTGACCAGCATAAAGTCAAGAATTTCATACTCATACAGCTTGCGGTTCAGACTGGTTGGTTAGAAAGGCCAACGACACCCGCACCATTAGCCTACAGCTAAGTTATAGAACTCCAAACTTTGAAACCTTACTGAACAGCCAGTTCGAAATTATAAATAATTAACTGGTTTGCTGAAAGAAAACTGGTCTTTGATGAAATGTTTCATAAGTAGAATTAAAATACTTACTCATACACATGATTACACTACTTCCTTAATTTTAAAACAGATTGAAACTAGCATCAATAGTACGTGATTAAACGTAACGGAATATACAACAACAAACAATTACATTAGTAACCGCTCACTACGATTTAAAAAATCAAAAACATAACATACTTAAAAATACTTAAAAAGACTTAAGAATACTTATCAGATACTTTGAAATACTTAATTGATACTAGATCTATAGTTTAGAGTGGGATGCCCCTAGTTCACCATGAAATATATCAGACAATATTCATATACATCTTACCTATCGCTAACCACGTTCGAAGCAAAGTATTATCAAGTACTAAGTATGTGAAATTACGATAGAAATTATTCCATATCGCAGTCATAGTTTTTAAGTGATAATCCAATGGAGTCTATCAATCATCACATAGAATGAATAAATCTGCTGACATTGGTATGTTATAAGATGGATCCAATAAACGGTACATGTCGATTTGTTTCAGTGTACATTTTCAGAAAGAGAACTATATAAGAACGTTTTTACTTATGATTTGAGAACATTAATAATAATGGTTATGGTAGTCAGTAAGGTCCATTAATGGTTTTGTATTATCGCTCAACTTTACGTGGAATATATCGTGAATTGGTAATCAGTAAATTACAGGCCACTGCGAAAAAAAACTGTACACGGCCAATGAGATCAACGCAAATTTGAGTACAGTGTACTCAATATCGAAAAAGTGCAGGATGAGTAAATTTGCCGCATGTTTTCCTGTGGAAAACCTCAAAAATCTGCCCTAAAATAAGGAAAATTTACGAGAATCCAATCTTTGCTTTTCTCATATTCGGAACATGAGGGAAATTTATTCAAAACTGAGTTCCTGCACTTTTTGCGATTTATGAGTGAACTAACCTCAAATTTGGGTCGTTCTCATTCGCCGTGTAGTGCTGACTCAGGACAAAACAAACTTTGCATGCGGCGAGAGACCGAGGGACAACAATTTACATCGTGATGAACTTTGATTCTAATGTAACGTTTGGTTCTGTTGTCATTGGATGTATTCTGATGTTTTATGCGTGCAACAAATTACATCGTGATGATGTTTGATTCTAATGTAACGTTAGGTTCTGTTGTCATTGGATGTATTCTGATGTCAAATTTTACATCGTCAAGACGTTTGATTCTGATGTAACGTTTGAGGCTAATGTATTTTTATGTACTTGGACGTCACACTGAAGTCTGAATACATTAAGGTTACAGCAATACACGTTAAAATTTAATGTATTGAAGATGTCTGCTGATGTTTCCTACATTACAATTTCTATTCGGGCGACATTACATTTTTTTTGCTGTGCAGCAAAAATATTTTACTGGATGGATTGCTGGACTTTCAGCTCGGTATAATCCGGCACAATTGACCAATGCGGCATGAAATCACGAAAAAATTTGACTTTGGGCCATGCCGTGTTTACTTAAAATGAACACATGATGTAATACTCGCGTAGCTTTAGAAAAGGTCCTATGAACACGCAGAAAAATCTATTGTCGAAACAAACATATTTGAGGTAAATTTAAACGTAAACTCTGTTTGTTCTGGCCACAAAAATAAAATAGGTTCATTTCAAACGTATTCCGTAAACGTCATGTGATATCGATGTTTAAAATAAAAATAATGCTACGTTTATTTTAAAAATATTCGTGTTGAAAATAAACTTAAATATTTTTGTATGATTTGACAAATATGGGAACAAAAATAATTATGTTTATTTTAAACATACTGTTCATTTTTAAAACAAACATACATACTTTTAAATTATTTTAGAAGGTATTTGAATGCGCTATAAAACAAAATAATTCGAAAAAATATCTGCAGACTGTGCATCTAAATTCCAGCCAGTTTTCGGAGTCGATTGAGGGTGGCCGGTAGGTAGTGGCATCCCGGTCCGGGATCAAATATGGTGCCTCCACGGTATTGGCTTCTTTCTACGGGGAAGGGGGAGGAACCGGAATAGATTCAGAATCCATTTCGGGTTTTCGTTTTTTTTTTCGATGTGATGGGGGAGGGTCAAATGACGATCGGCGAAACGATGGAGTGACGTTGAATTGTGGGGTTTCGCCTCGGGCTCCGCTGGTTTTGTCGAGCTGGAACATTATTTGGATGATTGCCTAGATGGGTTTCCTGATCGATGACTTCGGTTTCGCTGCTTGCGGGTCGTTTTCGGTTGAGTTCCGAGGAATAGCAGGAGCTAAATTCTGCCGAATGTAAGCAAGAGAAAATGTGAAGGCATGACACGCTAAAAATAGTTTACTCAAATCATATATTGTTGAAATAAACATGCTTTTGAATTTAATAAAAAAATACACATTGTTGATGCAAACATGTCTTCAATTTACTTTGAATGATTAATATGTTTATAGAATGAACCTTTATATTTTTGATTTTAATGAAAAAAAAATTCGTTTCTGTGAACTTTTATAAACAACTTGTTAGGCCCTTTTGTCACGAACCGAAGAACACCCACGCAAACCAAACCACTATCGGAAAGGGGAGAATTCACCCTACCCGATGGTGCTGTTGGTTTGCATGAGCGTACTTCGATTCGCGCGAAAAATATCTAACAAGGTTTGTGTACATAAGTTGATAGGCCGTTTTTAAATGTTACGCGACTATTATTCATGTGTTTATTTTTAGTAAACACGGCACCGCTCAAACGTCAAATTTTTTCATGTAGTTCATTCCGTGCATTGGTCAATAATGCTGGATTTTAAATAAAAAATGGTTGTGTACTCTACACGGAGAAAAAATACTACCCAAAATTTGAGTTCTTTTTACTTAATATTGACTTCAGCCTCTCACTTGCACTCGTTATTGTTGTCAAAAAAGGAACGAGAGATTCGACCCAGCGATATAGTTCAGCCCAATAAGTTACTTGTGAGTAAATTACATATTCTTAAATTTGCGTGAATTAAACTTAATTTTGGGTAGAATACACTTAAGAGTAGGTAATTTTTTTGCTGGTGTTAAATGGAAACTACTATATGCGATTTACTCAAATTTGGGTTATTGGGCTGAACCCCGGAATTGAGGGAAAAGTACTTAATTTTGGGTTGTTTTTCATCTCCGTGTATAGTCAACATGGAGTCTTTTCAATTCAGTTTTGCGTATATTGCTGTTGTCGTGTAATAATTTCAAAAAAGTCTCCACAGTTTGCTTTGGCTGGCTTTCGCGCTCAAATAATACTCAGCTGACTCTAATGTCACCGCGGAGACCGCGGCTGTCAATATCGCAAGCCTTCAATACGGCGCAGTTGGTAGTACCGATACAATCTGTCATCGCATTTTGGCATCCATTTTTCTTTTGGTGTTAACTGTGCAAACTCAAACAAAGTCGCCGCTCTTTTACTAGCGCTGTGCCTGTCGTTTTTTGTAAGTGGTGAAAATTTGCAGTTTTACCGTAAAAATCTGCTGCAAATAAGTCGATAGTTGCCGGAAATCATGTCCAAGGAAGAGGAGCCCGTCGAGACGGGAGATACCAATGAAAATTCGGTGAGTTAATCAGGGAAATTTATGGATGAAAGTCACGAAATTTTTCGGTCGAATGATGAGAGAGAAAGGACGCCCGCCGCATCGCATCGTAGTTATAGAGCAGCTTTGTGATGTGAGTGGTCAAAATGACAGCTGATTTTCTGTTTTGTAGAATGAATCCACCTCGGATACGACGTCGTCGCATACCAAGGAGCCGGATTACGATGCTACGTTGGAAACGGACCGTGGAAAGCGATTCGAGTTTCTGCTAAAGCAGACGGAAATCTTCGCTCATTTCATGCAAGCTGCCCCGTCGAAGGGAACGGGCAGCCCGCCGGCCAAGGTGAAGAGCAAACCGAAAAAGAGTGAGAAGGCGCCCGTCGCCACCACTACCGCAGGTGCGGACGCCAGTGGAGATCCGGGAGAGTGAGTGTTTGGGATTTGTTTTTGGTTGAGGTTAGGTTTTTAACAGAATATTTTGTTTGTAAATATTGCAGTCATCGTCATCGGAAAACAGAACAGGAGGAGGATGAGGAACTGTTGGCGGAAACGAATGTCAAAGCAAAAACGGTGTTCCGGTTTGAAGCTTCGCCGCTGTACATCAAGGCTGGGGAGATGCGAGACTATCAGGTTCGAGGTTTGAACTGGATGATTTCGTTGTATGAAAATGGTATCAACGGAATCTTGGCCGATGAGATGGGGTTGGGAAAGACATTGCAGACGATCTCGTTGTTGGGTTATTTGAAGAATTTCCGAAACAACCCAGGACCGCATATTGTAATCGTGCCGAAGTCGACGTTGCAGAATTGGGTGAACGAGTTTGCTCGTTGGTGTCCTTCGTTGAAGGCGGTGTGCTTGATCGGTGACCAGGAAACGAGAAATGCGTTCATCCGGGATGTGCTGATGCCCGGAGAGTGGGACGTTTGTATCACCTCGTACGAGATGTGCATCCGAGAGAAGGCCGTATTCAAGAAGTTTAATTGGAGATACATGGTGATCGACGAGGCACATCGTATTAAGAACGAAAAATCCAAACTGTCGGAAATTTTGCGAGAGTTCAAAACGGCCAATCGTTTGTTGCTGACGGGAACACCGCTGCAGAATAATTTGCATGAACTTTGGGCACTATTGAACTTCCTGTTGCCGGACATTTTCAATAGTGCAGACGACTTTGACTCGTGGTTCGATGCGAACGAGTGCATCGGTGATAACAAGTTGATTGAGCGTTTGCATGCTATTTTGAAACCTTTCCTGCTACGTCGATTGAAGTCGGAAGTCGAGAAGCGACTATTGCCGAAGAAGGAGGTGAAGATCTTTGTAGGTTTGTCCAAAATGCAACGCGAGTGGTACACGAAAATTCTGATGAAGGACATTGACATCGTCAACGGAGCAGGCAAAATGGAGAAGATGCGTCTGCAGAATATTCTGATGCAGCTGAGGAAATGTACCAACCACCCATATCTGTTTGACGGAGCCGAGCCGGGACCACCCTATACGACCGATTATCATCTGTTGGAAAACAGTGGAAAGATGGTTGTTATGGATAAATTGCTTCTAAAGTTGCAAGCGCAAGGCTCTCGAGTGCTGGTTTTCAGTCAAATGACCCGCATGTTGGACATTTTGGAGGATTACTGCTACTGGCGTGGCTATCAGTACTGCCGTCTAGATGGTCAAACGCCACATGAAGAACGTACAAAGATGATTGACGACTACAATGCGGAGAATAGTACGAAGTTCATCTTCATGCTGTCGACCCGTGCCGGTGGATTGGGTATCAATTTGGCTACGGCCGACGTTGTCATCATTTACGATTCCGACTGGAACCCTCAAATGGATTTGCAGGCTATGGACCGCGCCCATCGTATTGGTCAGAAGAAGCAGGTACGTGTATTCCGGCTCATCACCGAAAATACCGTCGAGGAGAAGATTGTCGAACGGGCGGAAATCAAGCTGAAACTGGACAAATTGGTCATCCAGCAGGGTCGACTCGTTGATAACAAAACCAATCAGCTGAACAAAGACGAAATGTTAAATATCATTCGCTTCGGAGCTAATCACGTGTTCCAGTCCAAGGATTCGGAAATCACGGACGAAGATATCGATCGCATTCTGCAGAAGGGCGAAGAGAAAACCGCAGAAACTGCAGCTAAACTGGACAAAATGGGTGAAACATCACTGCGCAGTTTCACCCTGGATACAGAAAATCCCGAAAACCGTTCGGTCTACCAGTTCGAAGGTGAAGATTATCGCGAAAAGCAGAAACTGCACGCCTTGGGATCCTGGATCGAACCACCAAAGCGCGAACGTAAAGCCAACTACGCCGTGGACGCTTACTTCAAGGAGGCACTTCGTGTAGCCGAACCGAAAGCTCCCAAAGCTCCCCGTCCTCCGAAGCAACCGATCGTACAGGACTTCCAGTTCTTCCCGCCGAGATTGTTCGAGCTGTTGGATCAGGAAATCTATCACTATCGCAAAACTGTCAACTATAAGGTTCCGAAGAATCCGGACCTAGGTCCAGAGGCAAACAAGGTTCAACGGGAAGAGCAACGTAAGATCGACGAAGCGGACCCGTTGAGCGATGATGAAATGGTCGAGAAGGAATCTCTACTGACGCTAGGCTTCACCAACTGGAACAAGCGTGACTTCAATCAGTTCATCAAGGCGAATGAAAAGTTTGGCCGAGATGACATTGAAAACATTGCCAAGGAGGTCGAGGGAAAGACGCCGGAAGAGGTAATGGAATACAGTGCAGTCTTTTGGGAGCGTTGCCATGAGCTGCAGGACATAGAACGGCTTATGGCGCAGATTGAGCGAGGCGAAGCGAAGATTCAGCGTCGGGCTTCTATCAAGAAGGCACTCGACAGCAAGGTAAGACCAAACTAACTGTAACAGTGGATGTACTGTGCTTGAGTTATTCATACCTCCTCTTTCTAGATGTGTCGCTACCGGGCACCATTCCACCAGTTGCGCATCGCGTACGGCAACAACAAGGGCAAAAACTACACCGAAGAGGAAGATCGTTTCCTGGTGTGCATGCTGCACAAGCTGGGTTTCGACAAGGAAAACGTCTACGAAGAGCTTCGAACGGCTGTTCGATCCGCCCCGCAGTTCCGCTTCGATTGGTTCCTCAAGTCGCGAACGGCACTGGAACTGCAACGTCGCTGCAACACGCTGATTACGTTGATCGAGCGAGAAAATCAAGAGCTGGAAGAAAAGGAACGGCTTGAGAAGAAAAAGAAAACCGGAGCGACCGGTGGCGCACAGAAGCCAGCTGCCGGGAAGCGTAAGTCCGAAACGGCCACCACACCAAGCGATAAGAACAGCAAGAAAAAGAAGAAGACTTAAGGTTCACGGAGATCCCCATTTTAGCGACTATGACTAACAAACACATTCATAGTTTTACACAATAGAAACTAGCGATAAACATATATTAGTTACGATTGTGCTTTTTTTATACAGCATTGCGTGCAGCGACTCTCGGAATGAAGTATTCTTGTGTTTTACATCAGTGATTAATTTATTATCGAGTATTACTACTTTACGTTGTACATTGGTGTGTACTGTCACAGTAGGATCAGGCCCCATTATGCTAGCACTGATCTGCAAGTTCAATAAAAAATGAACAGCAACATAATCCTACTATAACTACATATTTTTCAACATGAATCCACAGAAACGCAAGAATTACAATTATTCCTCACTAAAGCAAAAAGACGTCGGTGGTATTGAATTTAATTTTGAAAGAAATGCCTATTGCGATGGCCCTTATTACGGGTTTCACAAATCAAAAATGGGAATCACAGGGCTGGTAGCAGGTCACTTGTTAGAGCAACCGTACCAATGAGTAAATAAGGCACATTTACCAACCTCTACCATAACGCTACTTGCGAACCGGGGGTTGCTATTCAGGTGGGGGAAATAGCAATCCGCACCTTGGGAAGTAGTGAGTTCATAAATTTAGCAACCCGGTAGCAACGCATCAGACGGTTGCGCGAAGATGAACACTAGCCTACGGCTAAAAATCTCCTAAATAAAGGAAAAAAAAAACGGTTGCTATTTTGAATAAACGTCAAAAGTTTGTTTTGCCGGTGTGGAAAATGGTAACGTAAATTATGACTCTGATAACAACGACCGGTGTGGAGAGGAGTGATTAAGCCAAATTAAAAACGCTGTGCGTAAGTAAAATAGTGCCGCAAATGACAAACGACTGGTAGGGTTGCTCTTAGTGGCTAGGTCACTATTTTGAAGTCAGCTATACACTCAATGAGCTGGATTACCGAGGTGAAGCAGTCGGTTAAGGCTCTGAACCATTTGGCGATTTTTTTTTTAACTTTTGGTTAAAATTTTACAGATGGAAAGTTATCGATTAACCCTGCTATCCGAGCATGGTTATTTCTGACAGACAAGAAGTTAAATTTTGACGACCGTTTTCACATAACACTGAGTCTATGTGCGTTTCACGTAAAGCTTGAGATGTCCACATGTAAACAAAAGAGTGGTACGTACACTCAGAGCGGTGCAAATCATGGCAGCATAATAATGGGCTTCGGTATTTTTTAAAGAATGTGGCAAGATGTAAGTACAACATTATGGATTATTTGATTCTGTTTGACAAAAACAAACTGACTGTTTCATCGTACTCAACAGAATGATGTCAAGCTGTCCAGCAGTTTCTTCATCAAGGGAGAAAAGCATCTAGGCCCATCTTCATGATCTTCCAGATTTGTGCTGCGTTTCGAATAAAAAAATGCTGATGTAGTTTATTTAGTAAATTTTAATAAATTAAAGGAATATTACTATTATTACTTATAATACCGCGAAGATTTATTACATATTAAGGAAATATTTGTATAAACAGTGTCAAATATTGACACTAGAATCATCCAATGAATGTCACCGACCAAAACACGTAACTTCTATGTGATAATCCTATGGCGGTTAAGTTTCATAAAATGAGTACCCCTACATGAGAATCACATAGCTCTTATGTGAAAAGTACGATGGAAAAAATCTACGTATGTTTTCACGTAGCATTAATGTGAAAATTATTCAGAGTATACGCGTTCTGGCTTATGTGTCCCACACTCTGAGAAATCGTCACGTCCGATTTACGTGAAGACATAGGTGGTTTTCGTCCACCCTATTTTTCATGTAACTTTTACCGGAATTGCACGTAGTCGATCAAAACTCAGCTTCGATTATCTACGTAATTATTCAGGTAAATAAGACCTGATTTTCACGTGCTGCGTGAAATCGAGGTGAATACTACTGGAAAACTGGTAACTTTTGCGTGGTATTCCGTTTCGTTTGAAATGTTTTTCACGTATTTTTTACGTGAATTTTGAATGAAATTCTACATATAAAGAAGCAGTCAATATTATGCAATTTCATCGGGCATATGTAAATTTCACCACCGTCTGAAATTATAAATTTAGAAAAAGGCTACATATAATCATAAATAAATTAATTTAAATGATTCAAATTACCGTCCAATATTTGTAGCAAGCTGTAGGGAAATTTTGAATTTTTGAAATTTCCTTCCACCACGCTTGGTGACGCCTTATTGACTATTTTGCGTTCCTAGAATCTCACGTAAATCTAAATAAAATATTAAAGTCCCAAACACACAAACACAAATGCACTAAATCTGTTTACGTGAATAACCGGTCGATTTCGCCAACATTTTTAGTGGCCATGACGTGTAATACAGGTCAAAGTTATTAACATTTGAGATTTTCTAAATACAGATCAGTTACGTGATATTTCACGTAAATCGGATGTGGGGATTTTTTAGAGTGACAAGAAAAGTCAAATTTTACTCCAAAAGTCACTGGGGGTTATTCTGAGAGTCGACGTGACTTTTGATTTGCACAGAGAGTCACGTTACTGTGAATTTCCACCTGGTTCAAGTGGGAATCCCCCAACGCTGTAGCTTGCAGCTAAATTATTACTTACCTATTGGAGCTCCTGGGAATGAATGGCCACGAGTTCTGGGTTTTCAAATATACGAAGCATAGCCTACTTTGATCAAATCGACATAGAGTGTACGGGTGTACGTCGACTTTAGTTCCGTATACATTTCTACCGAATCATTAATACAGCTCATTTCACACTTTCTTAAGCAAGTAGAATTGCAATGGAATCAAATTTTGCGGATAAAAGCGCTCAAAGGAATTGTTCCGGTGGTTGGCTCAGTGGGTTCTTGTGTGTCCCATGCAGTGTTGGCAAAATCAGAAATCAATTGATATTTTTCCGCTCTCATGCGCTCGCAATATAACGCGTGATATTGGAGCAAAATATCATGCTTGATATTGATTTTACAAGCTCCTTTGATATTGCGAGACTATCCACAACGTGCAAAAATCAAGCTGAGAGTTGACTCGACACAAAAATGTTTCCATTGCACATCGTTTTTTTAGAAAGAGAAAGCATAGTTTGCTATCTCTTTTTAATCTTCACCGATGGCAGATGCGAAGGGACTGCTGTAAGCTGTTATGGAAGTTGCGGTTGCATTCGGGTGTAAAGCAAAAATCATTAAAATCAATCTCACCACAGTTTGGTGAGATTTGCAGTTGGTGAGTTTAGTTAGCATGATATTCCGAGCTGCGATATCACAGCTTGCAAAATCAACCGCAGTAGTTTGCTTGTTGATTTTTGTCTACGAAAATCAAGCGTGATCTTGGGCGTTGGTGAGATTTGATTTTTTGATATTTTCGCAACACTGGTCCCATGCACGATGCAATCTGGTTGTGCCGTCGCTGTGGTTTGGCCATATGCTGAGTGGTAGAGACGTAGCGGTTGTGCATAGGAGTGCGGAGTGTCTGACGCATTGGAAACGACTAGATTAATTCTACTTCCGAGGTCCTGCCATATGGTCAATTGATTAGCACTCGTAGGGAAAAAAGGTAATTTGAAAGAAAACGAGTGAAGAACGCAAGTATTCGGCGGTCTGATCGCTAATCGAGCCAAAGTAATGTGTAATGTGGGAAGCAATACTTGGATAATCAAAAATTTGTTATATCTTCTTTGTAACGGTTTTGAGGCTGGGACTAAATTCAGATATAGGACATTGAGATCCATTCGGTCTATTGGCTGGTTCCAACCGGTTCCACCCTTCTGCCTTCTACAGCTTCTTGTTTGATTGTTGTGTGGTTAGTTTGTAGTGATGTTATGGGGCGATAGTGTATTAAGATAGGGTGTTGGAAACGAGTCTGAATTTATACTAATGCGTGCACACACCTCATTATTTTCTATAGAACTATAAGTGTGTGCACGCATTAGTATAAATTCAGACTCGTTTCCAATACCCTATCTTAATACACTATCGCCCCTTAAACGCTGTCCAGATTGGAGTGTTATAACATGTTATAATGGTTGTCAAATAATTGCAACACAGAGACCACCATCAAGATAGCGCTATAACATGTTATAACTCTGTAGTCTGAACGTACTATTAACATCACTTACCCACAGACAAACAGACATAACTCTTAGAAGAAAATTCTTCAAAAAACATCGTCAAGCCTATTTTGCATGCACACTAGCACCAACAATCAATACGAAACTAACGATTTTAAATTGGCTCACTACTTGACTAGCCTATTGGTCCCAAGCAAACGATTAACGTATCCCATTCTAGTCGAAATTCTAGTACTACACAATGTTTGTTTTGTTTCGCTATGAAAGTTTGACAGATAAAATGAGGGGTTAGTGGATTTTCCAATGTTTCGAGGGGTTTAGCTTGGGACCGAAGAGAGTACCAGAGCTGGGCCAAAAGTTGAGCACATTTCTTCGGAACCTTCTGGTCTTAGAGTTACCTCTATGCTAGCACCATAGAGGTAACTCTAAGACTAGAAGGTTCCGAAATAACGTGCTCAACTTTTTGACTCAGCTCTGGTACTTTCTTCGGTCCCAAGCTAATCGATTCACCTCTCGAAACATAGGAAAATTCACTAACCCCTCATTTTATCTGTCAAACTTTCATAGCGAATCAAAACAAACATTGAGTAGTACTAGAATTTCGACTAGAATGGGGTACGTTAATCGTTTGGTTAGGACCAATAGGCTAGTCAAGTAGTGAGCCAATTTTAAATCGTTAGTTTCGTATTGATTGTTGGTATTACTTCATCTCTATTGAGAAATGATGAAGTATTCGGTTTTGATACAGTTGTCATTCTTGCCTTCATCGCAAGGAATTGATTCTAATTGAAAGGTCCCGCTATTTATATCGTTCGGAATGCTGGAACACCCTCTAAAGGCGCGCCCCTTTGTCAGTCAAAATTGGATTCCTTAGCAACAAAATTAAAGAATGACACCGATAGTGACCGTGCATTAGAACCCTTACTTGGGTAGGAATCACATAGATGAAGACTATCTAACTCATTTTTTACTTGTTTCAAGATCATCCTCGGTCCAAGCAACCCGAG